TACCCTAATTCGGAAAAGAAAACCCTGATTTTCTGCTCCAGTGATAAACGACAATCGTAAAACTACGAATCGAACCGATGGGAACGGGCAAGAAAACATTACTTTGCGACAAATATGGAAACGAATTATCCTATCGTACCAAAAAATTATAATAATAATAATAATAATAATAATAATAATAATAATAATTTATTCTCAAATAACAAACATGTTACAAGAGACATGCCAATTTACAGGCAAGATCAAAATGTTAAGATTAACAACATATTTCTTTTAAAACGGTATACAGTTACTGAAACATTTCACAAGATTCATTGTTATTAAAGATGGAATGTTCAATACGAATAATTGGCGCAAGTTACGAAGGTTGCGTTACGACAATCATCTTATCAACGCAACGAATTCAATACGTCACACAAACATCTTTTTCCAGGTGTTTGAGCAACCTTCTAACTGAGAATCTAACGAATTTGTTTGCCTGGTACAAACAGTTATATGAAGAAATGAGCACTTTCCTATGAAATTTTTGGAAATCCAAGGTTTTTCAGGCATAAAAACTTATGTATGAATCTTCGGAAGTACTCTGCAATCGCTTCGACCTTACCAATTTTGATCTGTCTTTAAAAGATCCTCTTGACAGTTTGAGACGTGTAGTTTCAACTATTCCCTAAGGGGAATCGTTTCACACGACGATCAGAAGCAGTACATATATAGGATATTATATCCGAAGTAATGGCCTAGGCCTACGACAAACGGTGGACAGCAATCTTCGGCTTCTCTCAAAGTTCAGCTGAAAAGCATGGAGGTCATTTCCAATGAGGAATTTTCTGTTGCCCTAAAGCCTCGTTTTCAGCTGCAAACAAATCACAGTGGACTGAAGCTTCCTTACTCCTGTTACTCGGAAAACGCAATGAAGTGAGAGCCTCCGTCCAACACGCTGCAGCAGAAATCGTTTAAGGCACGATGCTCTGATTTCTGATAGGATTCACAATTTCTAAGAAACGTAGAACTTAACTGCCACATGAGCAGCACTACAAACGAAATACTTTCATTTAAACCTGTTTACTACTAAACTCAAGCAACTGATGTGTTCATCAAACGCAGATGAAGACGGAATAACCACATTCTTGTACTTCGCGATTCATTACGTTGACCATTATAGTCACTCATTCACTTACAACGCCGAACTTTGTACGTGCGCAAGGGGATGCAGTTGTCAATTCAGAACAATAGTAGTGGAGGTAGCAGAAGTATTGGTAGTAATCGGACACTGCAGGGGTGGAAAATATTACTGAAGAAGTGTAATCAAATGAAATAAACTTAAAGAGTGAATGATGAAAGCAATTACGAATTCAGAAGTTTAGGATTTCACAGAATACAAAGAATTGATGTACCTGCGCAGAGCAAATGATTTTGAGCCATTTCATCCAAGGTTTCAAGCCCGCTATCTCAATTCACACAAGGTTCGAACAATATCAGCTCCAACATTTCGTTTAGAGTGAGTTTTAAGTAGACCAGGAATAACGGTTCTTGAATTCAAAATCTTTGAGTCAGCGGCGCGAGGTGATGAAGAAATGAAAGGAGGACTAGTCATGGAGTTAAAGGAGTTATTACGGTATGTGGGATGGATTAAATTGTGACCAACCCGGTCTCGCGTGCTGTTACGGGTAAGAGTGCGGACGTCACTTCCCAGCTGCCCATACCATGTGAGGATTTTTCTTGAGTAACCTAAAATTGAAGTTGGTTTAGCGTTAGTCTTAGAGACCTGAGAGTGTGACCACACAGCCTAAGGGACAACTGCATGACGCCGATCACACCCCGCTCTCTTTAAAATGTCTTACCGCCGGAGACGGAAATCCTTGAGGTAAGTTGAGGTGTGACATTCTTAAGGCCGACCTTTTCTAACCTCTTTTACTGGGATAAAATAGGTTGAGGTATTTGTTATATGCCTAAAAACATGTATATATCGTTTCTCAAAGACCTTCAGAGTGCTATTTTTATTGCCGTCGCATAGTACACAAATACATATATACTTTTTTCTATTTCTGCACGTTTAGTTTGCTTACAAATTCCTCAGTGTACGTCGATATGTACTTAAATTCTCATTCCTATTCTAGGACGACAGGAAATGTCGAAAGGCGGAAAACGCTTGTCACTGTACATTTATATTGTAGTGCAATACTTTTATGAAGAGAACGCGATTGGTTTAATAGGAACATTATTGTAACCAAATGTACCAGTGACCCTTTAACTGTACTTTTAGTTTATAACACATTTTTACGCGCTACTTACTGTTTGTGTTGCTGCCATCTTTGCTGTAGCTGCTCTTTAATTTCGCCCACTTTCCTGGTGTAATTTCGACACCACGAAATCACCAACAAATATTTTTTTTACCCTGGATTTATTGATCTTCCCAGTGACGGGCTAGTAATTAGTATTCAGTAGTACTCACTCAAGTCACAAGACATAGAAACTCACAAATAACTACCAACTAACTAGAACTAGTGCAATCGAATTGCTGGATCCCTATTCATTGGACACTACCAAATACCTGGAACCGTACTGAAATAAAAAGAATCGAGCGCAAAGAAATCAATTGGTTTATACTAACTCGTGAAGAAGATATTGAACTACTTAAAAATAGATTCCGAGCTTAATTACAACAACTAATGACATACAAGTTATTATTGCAAGTTGACTCGGTGTGACAAAACTTATTACACCTGACACTTGGCAGTGCGACGAAGACGTGTTCCCGAATATGCAGTTTACTAAATTAAAAGCACTCATTAACTATGACCTTACATCATGAGTTGATTCTGTTTAAATAACTGCATCGTAAATAGTGACTTAACATAACGAAGAATTTGATGACATGGACAGGTCGAGATCAGAATTACTGCGTGGCAATATTCGGGCTTTTATAGACCGCAACCTGAACTGATTTGCAGAATTATAAAAAGCACGGATAGCTTACCACTCCCAAGATGAATAATTTGGTTCTATAAATCCCTGTTTTTGTGGTGTTTTCTACTTCGACAAACATGGCATATCCGGCTTATGAACAAACTGTAGCAATTCAGAACGCGACCTACACCTTGATATATCTGCTATTTTCATAGGAAGTTGTGGCTTTCAGTATACATACCTGCCGCATTTTTGTTCTTGTATTTCTGTTTGCACGTCTAGTCACTCATTCCCAAGCACTCAACTTTGGGGAAAAATTGGAAACTTTCACACAGTCCGACTAACAATTTGGGGAAAATGCCACATACACCCGCAACCTTCTCACGTTCGAATTTTTCTCCACAATTTCACATACATTAAGAAAACGCTAATATGAAACTGCGAAAGTTTTACGTTTACCCCAAATAAGGCCAAGATCAGTTAATTGTCAGATCAATACACCTAAACGAAATCCTAAAGACTTAACTGGCAGCCGATTAGATACACAACCCTTCCCCAGCAGTACATTTGTTGTGGCTTTTGGTAATTCTGGTGTATCACATCATGAGGCGTCATACCAAATCCAGTGCTACTGTTAAAAATGCACGTAAACATTTCATTTTGAAATGCTTGGATTATAATGAGTTTGCCCTAGTCAAAAAACGAAAGCGAGGATCCGGCGACACGACATGCTACTCTAATCCGAGTGTCGCAAACGCGAATGCGTGAAAGAAGACTTGATATGAAGTAGAATCTGTATTCTACAAGCATCCAGAAAGTACGAGGTCCGAGTCCAGATGAAGACACGGATCCCGATCCGGGTCCATAAAACGTTACAGATAATGAGTATTTATACGTTCAGGTCGAATGGGTAACAGCATCGAAGTCTGTGACACTGACAGTCAGGATGACCATAAAATTGACCAGTAGGAATCAACCAGTAATTCTCTTGTGATATTGGATATTAATTAAGAGTGATTCGTTACTCTGGGTCACCTAGACAAGCAGAATTAAGATTCAGCTGACCACCAAATAAATTTCCCTATTGTAAATAACTCTTTACCACTTACGGTCTTGGAGGAGTTCAAAAACTCGTAAACACTACAGCTAGTTGCATTTCGAGTATTTTAATGATTATCACTTTCAGTTCCGACGGCGGGAAGTACAGGATTTGTGACAGTAGGTTGAGACATAAGTAGTAATGCATTAGTCCCGTTTATTCCTGAACGATTTAAGAAAACGTGGACATTTGTGTATTGTAAAAGAAACTTAGTCTGAGATGTTGAAAAGTCACATTCACTTTATATTATTTGGATGCTACAAACATATTACCATAAAGTTCGCCCAGTACCTAATTTAACTGAGATTATCAATAATACTTACAAACCCAGTTTTTATTTTATATGATTATATACAATTGTCATAACTATACTGCAACTCATCTACAATATATGAACTTTTTCATGCGATCGTAAACTATTGATAAGAACTGAAAACCTTAAGGCACATAAAAAACACTTCTTGCTCTTTGTAAGACGTTTAAACTTCATGAGTGTATTTCACTATCATTTACGACAACTGATTTTAAACACTAATTTCAATTGGCAACACTGAGACTTTAATGAGTATCCCTTAATATATTGTCTGATTTAACACAATATTTGTCCGCATGTTCTTCATTTTTAAGTGTTCTATAGAGATTGCTATAAAGATACTCAATGGGTAAATTTAGTATAGTATAAGACTCACGATCGAGGACTTCGTCGGATTTTATTTGAAACTGCACTGTGATTCAGCTCTTCATCAATAAACAGGTTGCTGAAAATCAATATTTCGAATCAAGTCGAAATAATGGAAACGTATATCGCCAAATTTGAAAGCGATGTTTGATATAAATAATTTCTACTAAGGATCTTTCTGAAATTCTACAGGATTCATTTATGATCTACGTTTCAGACGTTTCGGTACAAAAAGAGTGATATAAGTTTATCAAGAATAACGATTTCCGAAAACAATATTAACACTTATTGGTATATTTTAAAAAATATTAGCAATTAAGCTATTTGAGCATTTTTAACTGTGAGCGATTTAATCACAGCAACAGAAGATTTCTTCAGTGTCCATGAAACATTTTTGTACATTGCAATTCCGTCTTCATTTACTCTAAGATCCGGCTTTACTTGTTCAAAAATTTTCTTTTTGGGATTAAGTTGGTCATCAGGATCGTCTAAAAAAACGGAAGAACCATATAAACAAGCAGTCAATCCAAAAATAAGCATTTGCAAAATCAAGACAGTTCAAAAACTAACGCAAAAATACACTAGTTAGGTTTTTGGTGCAATAAATAATGAGTATCCTGATATTGAATATATATAAGTTAGTTCAAAATGTTGAAGTACATAAATTTGTAAAACAGGCATCACTAACTTTTATTCCAGCCAATAGTAGAATTAAGAAAATAAATAAATCTCGGTACGAGGAAAATGCTTCGTCTAAGCTATCATAAAATTTATGCCACCATTTTAAAGACAAACTAGGGTGTTTGTTGTTTGGTTTGGTGAAACATCGTTCCTTTGGCTGTGGCTTTACTTATTTCGCTTGCGTTCTACAATTTAAATGATTAGTCCAATTAAACCAGAATTAATCGGTTAGATGTTCTAAATATACAATTTAAGATTTTTGTTGAAATCATTCCAAGGTCATTCATGGATACTTACTAGATTCTGAATAGCTACCTATACCTCAAAGGCACAAAGTACAAGTTCGTATTATGAAGATGCATGTATTATTTAAGGGTTTGTACATATCAGTGAATAGATTTAGTTAATAGTAAGCTTAAAATACCCGTGGAATGAGCAGAGTAGACATTTTTCGCAATAGATCGTTGATTTACACTCGCAAAATAGTAATATAACCTATTTACCTAGTACAAGTTAACGGAAAGTAATACACACCGATTATCCGGACAGACGTAGATGAAGTGTGGTTGAAATTCACAACCGATTGTTCGAAAGCTGGATACTCTTAGTTACTGCATTAAGAATGATTTCAAGCAAGATAGATAACCTACAGAAAGTTTCAGTACTAATACTATTTATCTCAAACGTGACGATAGTGAACGCTAATTAAAGTGATAAGTTTTTTTTCGAGTAATTACGTACAACTAAACAGTTATTACTTACGTCTAATACCAGGGACCACAACTGAATCACCTAACTGGATATCTGGGCCTTCAACAATTAAAGGCTCTACTCCACATGTATCTGGAGCACTTGCACACATTAGCATTGCTTCCGATTCAACACCACGCATTTTCGCTGGCTTAAGGTTGCACAGAAATATCCCAACTCGGTTTTGTAGAGACTCGATGGGGAGGTATTTGACCAGACCGCTGACAACAGTGCATATTTCATTTCCACCCAAGTCAACCTGAAGCGGAAAATAAATGGTGAAGCGGATACTTTGGGACATAAAACACGAACTGCGGAAATATTAAATTAGATAGGAAGATAACATACAAAACATGAATGCTGATTTGAAAATATATGAAACTACTTACTTTTTCTACGTACAGTGTATCAGCATCAGGATGTCGACTGACATCAATGATTTTACCAACACGCAGATCCAGACGACCGATATCAACAGGCTTTTCAACAAGTTGTGGTTTTACATCTGGTATTTTACGTTCTACCTTAGAATTTTTCGCTTTCACTTGATTGGTCTGTGTTTCTATCCGCTGGTCGGGTTTCTCTGATGTGATAAACGATAAAAATAAGAGGCGCTAGTACTGGCTCTGGAAAAAAGTATTTACGTCGGTATTATGAGGCACAAAAGGTGGCTATACACAGAATAAGAATATTAAAAAGAAACCCAACACCGAAAGATTTAACTCTTGGCAAACAAATTTAAAAGACCAGATAAATCAAAAATACAACCAAGGTCGACTTTATTCGACAACAGAGTTTCATCTCATTTTTATAAAAAATGTCAGTCAGTCAGTTAGCTACAAGGTAGAACCTGGTACGTACGTACATCAGTCCAAGTTACCATACCACATTAGCACAAAGAGATGGAATTGCAAAATCAAATCCCATAGGAGTAGAAGTTGTAGCAGTATTGGTAGTAACAGAAAAGATTAGGGATAGAAGATAAGACTGATGGTACACTATCTTATAGAATCTACAATATTAATAAAGCCGGGAGTGAGTAATTTAGACTTACTGCATTAATTGTAGATTCCATAAGATAGTGTATCTTCAATCATATCTTCGACATGAGAGCTTATGGCGAACTGTCATTGGAATTCTTTACTTCAAGTGATTTCCGTCAGGGATGTCCACTCTCCCCATTCTTGTTTGAAGCATTGAAACTTCATCAGTTGAGGTGGTTGGGACATGTGTTACGTATGGCTAACCACCGACTGCCGCGACGACCTATGTTTTGTGGTGTAGGAGTAGGTTGGAAGAAAGCTAGAGGCAACCAATTCAGAGCATGACAAAAATCCATGAAATCACTGACAAGCGGACTGAGTCATGTTGGTAGTTGTAGGCTATCTGGTTGGGGTCCGCGAGACGAAAGTCATCAATGGTTAGAGACCTTGAACGACATGGCTCAGAATCGTTTGCAATGGCGCATGTGCATCCACTCTTTATGTTCTCTCTAATTCTAACCTTCTGAATTCCTCATAATCTCTGTCTTTCTCCTTCTAAATTTATCTCACTGAATTATACTTCCCGAATCATATCTTCGCTCCCTAATCTTCTCCATTACCGATAATACTTCTACTATCACTATCACTCCTGGATTTGAACTGACAGCTGCGTCTCTGTAATTATGTGGTATGGCAACCTGAACTGATGTACTTATGTCAGTCAGTCAGTCAGATGCAACGTAGAACTTTGTACGTAAGTACATCAGTTCATGTCGCCATACCACATCAGCACAGAGATATAATTGCCAATTCAAATCCAATAGTAGAAGAGGTAGTAAAGGTATTAGGAGTAATCGGAGAGGTTAGGATTAGAAGATACTATTCAAGAAGTATGGTTCAGTGAGAAAAGTTTAGAAAGTCAAAAGTAGAGGGTTTGAGGAATCCAGAAGATTAGGATTTGACAGAACACAGAGAATAAATGCACCGGCGCAAATGCGAACGATTTTGAGCCATGTCATTCAAGGTCTCTAACCATCGATTATTATCACCTCGCGGACCCCAACCAGGTAGTCGACAATTACCGACATGGCTAAGTCCACTCGTCAATGAGTTCATGGATTTCTGCCATGTTTTGGTCTGGCCACCCCTAGCTTTCTTCCAACCTATTCCTACACTACAAAACAAAGCTCGTCGAGGCAGTCGGTGGTTGGGCATACGCAACACATGTCCCAACCACCTCAACTAATGAAGTTTCAATACTTCATCTATTGATCTGCCATTCTTACCGAGCACCCATGTCCTAATAACAGCGTTGCTCACTCGGGTGTCCCACGATATACGAGCAATGCTTCGAAGACACCTATGATCGAAAACCAGTAACCTACGAATATCTTCTACTCTCATTGGCCATGTTTCACAGCCATAAAGTAAGACCGAGCGAACCACTGCACAGTACACTCGTCCTTTAGTCAGCAAACGGATATCTCGCCTTCGCCATAAGTGACGCAGGTTGGCAAAAGCCAATCGAGCCTTCTGTATCCGAACTGAGATTTCGTCAGTCACCAGACCATCGGCACTGATCAGACTCCCCAGATAAGTGAAGCGGTCTACACGTTCGACTACTTCACTCCCTATCACTAGTTCAGGTGCCGATGCAAGTCAATCTTGAAGCAAAATTTTGCATTTCGAGGGGGAAAACCGCATACCGAACATGCTTGCATTGTTGCTTAGGGTGGTCAGAAGATGTACTTACGTACGAAGTTCTGCGTTGTATCTCTGTCTTACTGCAATAGTTACTATTGATAGTGTCTTTATCCTAATATTTGGACTTACGTTTTTGGGTTTTAACCGTCCTAAATTATGCGATCTTAAAAAGAAAAAAATATACAATATTTTTCCAGTGTCAGTAAACTAGGACTCCATAAAGATCGATCCTGTACCGACTAAATTGCAACATTACAGATCATTGTGAAACAATCAATTGAATGGAACTAACCATCACTACACATCAACTTCAGTGATTACGAGAAAGCGTTTGATAGTGTGAACAGGACAAGTGTGGAGGCTTCTTTGACACTACGGCGTGCCTGAGAAGATATTCAACATCATACAGAATTCTTACGATAAATTAAACTGCATATTTGTGCACGGACAATAACTGACAGACTCCATCGAGGTGAAGAGCAGTGTCAAGCAAGGTTGCTTACTCTCTCCTTTTCTCTTTATCCCGGTGGTCGACTGCATTATGAAGACGTCGACATCTGAAGGGAAGCACTGTATACAGTGGACAGACAGGATGCAGCTGGACGATCTGGCTCTTCTATCGCACACGCAACAACAAATGCAAAAGAAGACGACCAGTGTAGCAGCAGCCTCTGCAGCAGTAGGTTTCAACATACATAAGAGGAGAAGTAAGATTCTCCAATACATAAATATGTGCACCAACCAAATCACTCTTGATGGAGATGCCTTGGAGTACGTAAGAGTCCTTACATATCTGGGTAGCATCATTGACAATCGAGGTGTATTCGATGCAGATGTGAAGGCGCGAATCGGTAAAACAAGGACTGCATTTCTACAATAGAACAACATCGGGAACTCCAAACAAGTATCAGCCGATACGAAAGTCAGAATTTCCATTACAAATGTCAAGACAATTTGTTGTATGGGGTGGAAACCTAGAGAACTACGAAAGCCATCATTCAGAAGATACAAGTGTTTATGAGCAGTTATCTACGCAAAATATTTCGGATCCGTCGGCCAGACATCAACAACAACCTACTGTGGGAGAGAATAAAACGGGTTCCAATGGGGGAGGAAATCAGGAAGAAGCGCAGGAAGTGGATAGGAAACACACTAAGGAAAGCACCCAACTGCGTCATAAGACAAGCCTTCACTTGAAATCATCAAGGCCAATAAACACATTACGCCGAGAAATAGAGAAAGATATGAGAAGGATGAACAAACATTGGACCGGACTGGAAACAGAAGCCCAGGACAGGGTAAGTTGGAGAATACTGGTCGGCGGCCTATTCTCTGTTGGGGGTACCGCGTAAGTCATTATAAGTAAACTAGCCCTCCGGAAAACGAGAAAAAAGACACTAATATGACTTCAAGTGTAAATCCGAAGCTAACAGTCAAACAAGCTTACTTTGCACACTTTGAAACTAACGAGATTTAACTATAGAGGCTATACGACGATTAACTAACCTTCAGGTATTGATCCTTTTTCTGGTCCGATTTCCAGTGAACTTACATTCAAGTTTGGAACATTGGATACTTCTTTCACAGAGGGTGAATTTTGAAGCTGTTGCTGATTTACTGCTTATAAAAAGACTCATTAGTAAACTTAACTAACATCCAAGAAGTAGCTCTTGCTGAATAACTGACTCCTTTAGCGACTTTATTCTACACAACAATTGTTTGTTTTGCGCTTTGAGACATGCTTCAACATAGTTTACTGCATCTGGTGTTGCAAGTGATTCTAGCTGCTTTAGTTTGGCAGAGATAGACTGCAACAGTACCTTCATCTTTGAAAGGAATGAAAATTTCCACAAGCTTATGCATTTAATCGAAACCCAGGCAAAAAAACAGTTGGAATTTTTATTCACAAGATTTTGGTCCTCCAAATCAGGTAAGAACTAAGGCTCACACACGAGATTAGTGATAGTTAAACATATACAGCGACATACGGCCCAGTGGACGTTTTACCTAAGATTATTCGCAGCTTTACGAGTGTTCAGATATTACCTCAAGGTAATATACTGAATCTGAATGAATTAGCTACGGAAACCGGTGTCATAACGTAGGACCTAGAACCAGTATACAATATTTGTGATATTAATACAAAACTCGGAGAAATTATTGTAGTCCTACAAAGGAATACTTACGAATGGATTTATTACTTACTCTTCATAATGTTCAATAATAGACATACAAAAGCAAAACTGCAGTAGTATTCTATGACATAAATACTGCATTTATCTCATCCAGTCGCAAGATGTACCAGAAAACTGCCTGAACACAACTGACAGCGTTTTATCCTATGACGTACTGTTCGAAGATTTTGGTGAGGTGTTTGGTACAGTTTATCACATGGACATGCACACACACAATTCACCATTGGAGTATATTGCACCATCCAAGACTCCACTTATTATATACACTAAAATAATGTGTGGGGATGGATATAACACTAACAGTGTGTAAATTAGCAAGGAGCGATGTCCGAAAGAATACTCTAAGTATTCTACAAATTCTTTTCCCTATAATCGAATAGCACAGATAAGTTGAGTCTTCGACTCTCATTTACAAGTGGTGTCAGAGTCCAGCGAAAAAAATAGCTTATCGTCTTGTTTGGAAAGCTGATTTAGACGTACAGAGGTTACATTCATTAAGGGGCTAGTGCACATTGCACACGGTAGTAATTTTCAAAATACCATCGATTAAACATGAATTTCACAGATGCGAGAACAATAAGAACTACGTGCGACTTGAAAAAACATCTGTTTATCGTAATAAAGGAGCTTCCAAAGATTTTTGAAAGCGTTGTGAACAACTCACCCTGACAGCATAAAGGTATCAAAAGTAATTAAACGGCGCGCAATTTCAATATGTCCAATATCTTCTTCACGAGTTAGTATAAACCAATCGGTTTCTTTGCGCTCGATTCTTTTTATTTCAGTACGGTTCCAGGTATTTGGTAGTGTCCAATGAATAGGGATCCAGCAATTCGATTGCACTAGTTCTAGTTAGTTGGTAGTTGTTTGTGAGTTTCTATGTCTTGTGACTTGAGTGAGTACGTTTCCTTAGGACAATAGAGTTTTGGGGATTCCATCAGCTATCACGTTACCAGTTCGGAGATCAGTTAGTTGCAGTGTGGAGAATAAGGAGGGGAAGGTTCTAATGCTAATGAGAAGAAGATTTCAGGACTGAGCATGTAAATAGATATTTTAGTTTATCGATTGGTAGTGAAGATAGTGAAGGAAGACTGAAGTGTAAGCAATAGAGGGGAAACTAAAATATATAACGGTATAGAATAAGTACGTGATCTGAGTAAACGGAAATCATAACAACTAGCAGGTTTCGAAGCATGCACCAGGCACAGCTGGTCCACGAGGGAGATGATAATCCGTATGTGAGTACATGCCACCAGATATTTTCATCTTCTGCATATATTAATGCAGTGAAACCTTCCATTCATGCCAGGCTCTCCTTTTGCCTGTCGTAAGCGTCCAGCTCCTAGCTCACAGAAGTTCTTCTGCTTTCAGGTGTTGATTTTCCTGATGTATCTTGTGTAGTACGACTTTCTAAATGATGTTTTTTTTTGTTGTCTGCCAGTCGTTATCTGTTGTTAGTCTTCACCATTCTCTTGGCCATGGGGCGTTAAGAAGAAGCTCATTCACCATCTAATATGACTAGAGAGACTGTTGCTGTACGCAGGCTGATGCAGCACAGCTAGGTCTTCTCGATTTTTGAGGTTCATGGCCATTAGATGTGGAGACTTAATAGTCACGAAATATGACGGGTGACGCTAGTAGCCATGGGGACGTGTTACGTGATATCCAGCACCATTGTTGCATGTCATGTAAGCTAAACCGAACCAGGTCAGCCATTACAAGAACAACCATACCGGGCTGGTTTTGTGGGCCTTTTGATGTCCTAGCAGCTTCTCGGTATAGTCATGGTTTGTCGCGCCTGACTCAGATCGCATATGACAATTTGATTGAGAGTCTCTGAGATATTGGGCAACTTTTGCCAAGTCTAAAGTTACCCCCAGCTTTGGAGGTTGCCCTTTAGGCGGCTTTCTGATCCATTTTTAAAGGTTTCGCTTGTGAAATCCCAGCATGTACATATTTGTAATTTGTTCCTACTGATTCCTTCAGTCGTAAATTTTTCGGTCAGTTAGATTCCATTTGAGATGGTAATATTTTACTATAGTTTCTTCACTGAGTTTCTATGTTTCTTTCTTAACTGCATTTGTGTTCTTCCAGCTAATACTTAGTCTTGGCAGTTGCAATATTGTCTTGTGTTGCTTGTATTGACTGGAATTGTACAATTCGACTGTAAATTAAAGCAATCCTCCAGAATAGGAAACACTGTGTTATAAAGCAACCAAATATTATCTTTCGGACAAATGTGATCAATGCAGAAAGGATAAAATTACATTTATTATTGCTATTGATTTGATTAACTGAACAATCGTTAGTGGAATAACTGAGTGGTAACATCATTTAGGCAATGATGTACGTTTATATTTATGATGAATATTAGCAAAAACATTTACGCAATCACTTTGTTTTGGTTCCAACTGGGAAATGGAGCGTACCTAGAGAGTCATTCTTCAGTCAAAAGCCCAATTTGGAACAAAACGTAGTTCTTCAATTTTATAGGTTCCTGGAGCAAAAACTCCCAATTAGCAAACGAAGACAAACAGAAACCAAAATGTCCGAAAATAATAAATCAAACAAGTTCATAAGTTAAGTAAAACAAATCTACCCAAAAAAACAGTGAAATTAATGATATTTTCTGTTCCGCTCCTCGTCCCGTTTTCTTTATTCCTCTTTTTTCAGAACCTTATTCCAATCCTCATATATTAGTCTAAATATTTGCAGTAGACTTGGTTACCCTACCCAAGAACATATGAAATCATTAGCTGATGAATAGCAACCATACCATTGTACATATACCGCATCAATTCTTGTTATATGAAAACCTATCTCTACCATGAGTCGTTTATCAGTCTATAAGATGATCGTCGTAACGCAACCTTCGTAACTTGCGCCAATTATTCGCATTGTACATTCCATGTTTAGGAATTCAATGAAGCTCTTGAAATGTCTCATTAACTGTATACAGTTTTAAAAGAAATATGTTGCTAATCTTAACATTTTGATCTTGCCTGTAAATTGGCATATCTCTTGTTATTCGAGAATAAATGATTATTATTTATATCATTATTATATTTATATAAAGGTTTTAATCAGCCAAATGTCTTCATTTCTCCCGTAACACTCCCGACCAAAAGAACCTTGGTTCTTTTCACCGACAAAATAGGTAACAACAATCCAAGTATGTGCATCACAAGCAATCATCAACAAACATTCAATATAGATTCTACACCGGCCCGCAAAATCCCTCCGTGAAAAACAAGCCCTTTCTGACACTTCAACTTAGGGTTCACTCTCATCCCCTAATCTACACCGGAAGAACGAGTAGGACTTACAGCAGTACGCCAACTCGCCCTCCAACATGGATATGACTTATCAAGCTAACTATGTACCTGTACCTTCCCATCAGGTCCTTGATTCCCCTATCTATCGTAGCATGACCTAACGGTAGTATAAACTTCATCCAGTTAACCCACATGAACATGTATAACACGTCGTAAAGCTGGTCACCCATCATTCGGGATTTACTTTCCACATTATGAGGATGAGTCGTCAATCCACCACCACTTGCTCCGATCGGCAGATACAATGAAGTCAGTGATGCTGACTTATTAACAGACGTTCTTGACCCATGGATAATATGCAAGGGTGGGATCTCCAATTTTGATATTTCCTCGTCTCCCGAAGACTTTAAGTGGCATAACATGGGACCAATATTTATCTCTCCATTTCCTGATACAGAGGATGTTTGGTCAGCATTCGTCATCGTCGGCAACTCATTTGTCACATCAGTGACATCCAGATTATTATCATCGTCATCATGATTCCGTTGTGTCAGACAAATCGCGTCGTTTCTGGCTGCACTAGCATCCGTAGATTGAGACTCTTCCATTGTTGTATAACTCATCTCGCTCAATGAAAGAACAGCATTAGTGTAACAATTCGAAACCGATGAACTCACTTGTTGTTCTTCATGTTCCGTTTCCGAAACACAAGACATATGCACATCAATAGCATCGTTGTCATGCAACAGTGTAGACTGGCTGTTACCATCAGACGCTTCCTTCTCATCAATACTCGACTGACAGTCAACCGGAGTAGGAACAGATACAGTTGCACAACCTTGTGCATCTTCAATCAACTTTATATTTGAGGCAGGGTTCGATGACGTCAAAACACTAGAAGGCTCATTCGATGAAGTTGGTCGACTAGTCACCACAGATGGATTGCTCACACTTTCTGTCTCTTTACTATCGATGTCACTACTAAGTTTCTGATGACTACTATCTCCATTGCTAGTCATAGCATCAGAAAGAGAACGAAGTTTAGGCTTCTTAATAATAGTAGCATCATGTCGTTTCTTATGCTTCTTAGCTTGGGTAGCAGAATGTGAGCGTAACGTACGATCATTTCGATGTCGATGTGTGTCTTTCAATTTCTCTCGATCACTATTACCAGCAGGAAAGTTATGAATGCTAATATCATTAGTAGCCGCAGCTGAACAAGCAGCAGTACACTTCTCATGACATACAGTCGACTCATACACAGTGTCCAACTTTACTCGATCAACATTGCTTTCCTTACGAGGAATGCTCTTAACCTCATCTATCTTATCACTGTTGTTAGTGCTCATCCTGATA